CTTTGCGACGTTTTTCACCACTACCTTTATGTTTTTTTGCAAACAATCCCCTAACTTGTTGGCGACTCTTGGTTTTTTTATCTGATTTATCTGCAATACTTTGCTATTCAACTGAATCTAAGCTTCAATACTTTCACTAGCCGCTTTTCTTGGATTTTATTATAATCGGCAAGCTTTTTTCCTTTATTTTACTTCCTTTGTCTTTTTTACCCTTTTTGCCTCCTTTGCTAGGTTTGCTACGTTTCTTTCTCTCTTTGCTTTTCTTACCTAAAAGGATTTTTAGTAAAAATCTGACCATATGGCCAAGCTAAGCATGTTACCCTTAGCGCGTGGTACTGCCATCCTTGTACGTTCACTGCGTAGAAGTTAGTAAAGTAGATAAATGAGAAACTCCTGCTTTTAGCTGTTTATTCAATAATGGCGAGTTATTATCACTTCTAAAGGTTATCAATTACAGTAACCCAAACAAAATATTCATCTCTTTGTATCACTCTATGATCACTGATTTCTCAGTGATATACAAAGGGTGTGTAGGGGGTGGCAGAACCACCTCCGGCTCAGGAGCTGGTAGCTCCAGCACAGCTTCTATCGGTTCTGGATTTGCTGGTAGTACTGGTGACGGCGGAGGAGCTGTTACGGGCGATGTCGAACGTGAGACAAACGTTATCGTAACCCAAGAACCATCGGAATCGTCTTCTATTGAATCTTCTATGTACTGGGTTTTCTGAAAAAAAAGGCCTGAAATTAATGATGAAAATAAATGGAAGTGTTTTGAGTTACTTTTATTATTAAGATCCAGATTATTCCTACGCACAAAAATGAATGTAACAGTCTTTTTTGGAAAAAATTTTAAACTGTTTTCGTCGAATCTAGGCCTTTTCTCCGAGCCTTTCCAGAACATTCCTCCCACCGGCACCACTAATCACGCCGCTGGAATGAAAGATAAAAAATGTTTGTTAACTTCCAATTGCATTGTGACGTAAAATATAGCGCACATCATCT